GTACCAAACAGATAAGACATTATTTGGATTCTGTACAACACCGTACCAAACAGATAAGACATTATTTGGATTCTGTACAACACCGTACCAAACAGATAAGACATTATTTGGATTCTGTACAACACCGTACCAAACAGATAAGACATTATTTGCATTCTGTACAACACTGTACCAAACAGATAAGTCAAGTTCCATTTTGTACAACACCGTACCATGAGCATCCATAGAATTTATTCCGGGTGAGGTCAAGCCATTGCAGAATGCAGACCATTGCCTTGAAGCTTGAATGCGATGCTCCAGCTAATTATGGTTTTTGTGTGTACACCTAAATTTGTCATTTATATCTAAATAGTCTTATTTTCTAACATAGTTTGGAATTATTATAAAAAATACTTGTATTACCACTACCTTAACTAAAAAAATTTAGATCATTCAAAGTGTTTTATTCCAAACTTTAGCCCTATCTTTCAAGAAAACAGAATTCATTTGAGACCAGTAAATTAAACATAAAACAGCTGTCAAAACAAATACTATTATTTTTCATCTTTAACATCTACTAGATGCAGCTGGTTAACACATTTACTGAACTACCAGCTACAGAGATCAGATTTATTTACTAAGATGCACACGTGATATCTTACCAACTGGCTTACAGATATTCCTGTGTCAATAACCTCCAAATCTCTAGTTGTATCATCATCTTGTTCACTGGTGAAACTTGTGGACTGAAATATTAAATTTCCATTTAAAATATATATATAAACATTCAGTGCAACAAACTTCTGTTTGTGATTTCAAGCTAATACTAAATACTTAAAAATCCAGAACTAAGAATGTGCACTTCAAACCAAAAAATAACTTTTACAAAATGTTTATTTCAATTGTAAAATTACTGGTCACGTTTAGTCTACCTAAGTAATAGTAACTAAAGAAACATCTCAGGACTCGCTAAACCAAAATGAACAACATACATTGTTCTACATCACAACCACTTTATGCTATGAACTTTCTTCCTAGTAACAATAAGAAAATATTAACAGTCGTGTAAGCATCTATATAACAGAAGTGAAAATGTATGGTAAGCTGTATAGTCGTAAATATCTGTGAAATAAAATTTGCTTATACTGTACACATGTTCAAATAACTTCATAAAATTTTAAAGAGAAAAAAAGGAGCTCATCAGCCCATCGAAGATGTCCTTTCCAGCTCCCAACTATAACCTCCCCTTACTACTCATGTATTCATTCAATCTTTTCTTGAACTCAGTTAAATTTTCTGCCTCCACCATCCTTAAAGACAGCTCATTCCAAAAGCCAACTAGCCTGTTTGAAAAGTAATACTGTCTAAACTGCAGACGACTCCTACGCTGCCAAAATTTGAATTTATGACCCCTTGTCCTATTGTTTTCACTGCTAAACACAAAAAAGTTTGATGGCTCTATATTATCAATAGCCTTCATAATCTTAAACACTTGAATCAAATCCCCTCCAACCCTTCTCCTCTCCAAAGAAAACAAGTTTAGAGATTTAAGTCTCTCCTCATAGAACAATCCCCACCATCCCAGGTATCATCCTAGTGGCTCTTCTCTGAACCTTATCCAACAATTCGATGTCCTTCTTGAGGAAAGGAGCCCAAAACTGTACAGAGTACTCTAAATGAGGCCTTACAAGTGATCTGTACAATGAAACAATAATATCCCTTGTCTTGTATTCAATATTTCTATACATGCTACCCAATATCCTATTAGCCCTATATACTAGCTACAATATACTGTTTAGATGACTAAAGTGATTTTTAGATCACAACACCAAGACCTTTTTCTTCAACCACACTATTTAATGTATTCCCATTTAAATTGTAATAATAACTTCAATTGTGAAAACCTATATGCATCACCTTACATTTTGGATAATTAAACATCATCTGCCACATATTGGCCCAATACTTCAAATGATCTGAACCTCCCTGTAAGTCTGCAACATCCCAAAAATGTTAATGTCATCTGCAGACTTCAATATTTTGTTAATCATTCCAGAGTCAATATTATTAATATAAATCCCAAACAGCAGAGGACCAAGCACAGAGCCCTGATGCACACTGCTTGTAACTGTGATCTAGTCAGATTTAACTACTCTCCAGCCAATTTTCTATCCAATTTAATAACACTTCCCCTACCCCCCCAGATTTAATTTTTGTAACTTAATGTTGCATATATATATATATATATGGTACACATGTTAAAGTAACTTAGTGTTGCTTACATGGTTCATATGATGTGCAAATGACTTAGGAAATTTATTAACTTA